AGTTCAGTGAGGATCTCTGAATGATCCAATGTTGACCTAAATGACTAATGATGATAAATAGAATCCACCTGTGTGTAATCAAGTCTCCGTATAAATGCACCTGCACTGTGATAGTCTCAGAGGTCCGTTTAAAGCGCAGAGAGCATCATGAAGAACAAGGAACACACCAGGCAGGTCCGAGATACTGTTGTGGAGAAGTTTAAAGCCGGATTTGGATACAAAAAGATTTCCCAAGCTTTAAACATCCCAAGGAGCACTGTGCAAGTGATAATATTGAAATGGAAGGAGTATCAGACCACTGCAAATCTACCAAGACCTGGCCGTCCCTCTAAACTTTCAGCTCATACAAGGAGAAGACTGATCAGAGATGCAGCCAAGAGGCCCATGATCACTCTGGATGAACTGCAGAGATCTACAGCTGAGGTGGGAGACTCTGTCCATAGGACAACAATCAGTCGTATACTGCACAAATCTGGCCTTTATGGAAGAGTGGCAAGAAGAAAGCCATTTCTTAAAGATATCCATAAAAAGTGTCGTTTAAAGTTTGCCACAAGCCACCTGGGAGACGCACCAAACATGTGGAAGAAGGTGCTCTGGTCAGATGAAACCAAAATCGAACTTTTTGGCAACAATGCAAAACGTTATGTTTGGCGTAAAAGCAACACAGCTCATCACCCTGAACACACCATCCCCACTGTCAAACATGGTGGTGGCAGCATCATGGTTTGGGCCTGCTTTTCTTCAGCAGGGACAGGGAAGATGGTTAAAATTGATGGGAAGATGGATGGAGCCAAATACAGGACCATTTTGGAAGGAAACCTGATGGAGTCTGCAAAAGACCTGAGACTGGGACGGAGATTTGTCTTCCAACAAGACAATGATCCAAAACATAAAGCAAAATCTACAATGGAATGGTTCACAAATAAACATATCCAGGTGTTAGAATGGCCAAGTCAAAGTCCAGACCTGAATCCAATCGAGAATCTGTGGAAAGAACTGAAAACTGCTGTTCACAAACGCTCTCTATCCAACCTCACTGAGCTCGAGCTGTTTTGCAAGGAGGAATGGGCAAAAATTTCCGTCTCTCGATGTGCAAAACTGATAGAGACATACCCCAAGCGACTTACAGCTGTAATCGCAGCAAAAGGTGGCGCTACAAAGTATTAACTTAAGGGGGCTGAATAAATTTGCATGCCCGATTTTTCAGTTTTTTATTTGTTAAAAACGTTTGAAATATCCAATAAATTTCGTTCCACTTCATGATTGTGTCCCACTTGTTGTTGATTCTTCACAAAAAATTACAGTTTTATATCTTTATGTTTGAAGCCTGAAATGTGGCAAAAGGTCGCAAAGTTCAAGGGGGCCGAATACTTTCGCAAGGCACTGTATGTACACAGGAGTCGACGCAGCAGTTGGTTGACACTCGTGTCACTCTGCAGCTCACTGTGCATCTACAGGGAATCTGTTTGCTTCCACAGTTCTACTGCCAGGAAGAGCACGAATGTGTTGACCATTCAGTGAAAACTGTGGTCGTGAGGACAAGTTAGAGATCATTTTTTAGACACGTTCAACAGCCGCCCCACTACGGGAGCGACACTATAGCCACTGGTTGTTTCTCTTCATAGAGACCAATGTACAGTTTTTCTCATTTTCACCCATTTTAACAAAGATTCAAACTATCTGGAATAATCTGAAAAGGGTGTATAACATTCAAATGTTTAATCTGCTGTAGTTCAACCTCATCATCAGTGAACGTTGGGCGTCCATGACCCTGTCACTAGTTCACTCTCTGTCCTTCCTTAGACAGTGGTAGGTAGTGACCAGTGCAGACAGGAACACCCAACAACTCTCTGACCCGGTCGTCTGCCATCAGTCTGGCCCTTGTCAGAGTCACTCAGATCCTTTCTCTGGCCTGTTCTTCCTGCTTCCAACACACCAACTTCAAGTGCTGAATGGCCACTGGTGTAAAACATTTGAAACTCCTGACCTGTGACCCAGAAACTTTAATTTGTTAATTGGGTGGTTATTCATGTGTAAGCACCGTCACTGATTCCTGTTCTCCAGCATGCGGTAAAACCATGTTCACCAGGTTCCCTTCCTGTGTAAAGCTATCTCTACATCTTGATATGAAATAGTTACACCTCATCTCCTCAATACAGTTAAACATTAGTCACATAAAGCTCAGCGAGTAACACATTTATAACTCAGGGCATTCTTCGCACCAGAGCCAAGACTGTTGTTTTGAAACTCACAGTGGGAGATGTGTGCACTGAAACACAGTCTGAGCCATGACTCAGAGTAACTTTATGTAGATAGTTGTTTAAATAAATGCCAATTCTTTTTGACTGTTGCATAAAAAATTTAATAAAACACAAACTTTTTTTGGCTGTTAATCCAAAACTTGTAGAAAAGAATTCGAGTGGCGAACGAATATAAAGACGTAGCAGCAAGGAATCAACAGTTGTAATATCCCATCTGTGTGTGTAAAGAAGCATTCATTTAGCAATCATCCTACTCTATACTTGTAATCTGTGACAGAGCTTCCTCTCCACATTCACCCTGGACAGCACCTGGGATTGGCTACGTAACCAGCAGAGGTGCCAACATCACAGATGCTGCCTCTAAACTAATTGCATGAAGGCACTGTAGTGCATAAGGCACAGGTGCTCATTCTCTTTTTGCAGCCATTTTGCCGTGTTTTGTGTCTTCATGCATCCTAGAACAAATAACTTTCCAACATATTCATTATGAGGGTTTGATTACAATTTAAACCGCAATAAGGCTAAAAGGCAGCAAAGACAGGAAATGTGACAAAAGACAAATTAGCATTCATCTAGCAAAATACTATTTTATTTATTAGCGAGGCACAGTGAGAGCTACCCGCTGCCTGGAATAATGTTCAGATGCAGTTACAGCAGCCAAATGTGATTTAAATCACCAACACAGCACCTCAGTGTATTTTCACTCAGGCTACAGCAGACAGACGATCACCCAGCCCTAACCACCTCAGCAAATGATATTCATTAGACTGGCATGCTCCAAAATGATTATTACACCATATCTTTTGTTAAAACAATATTTTCTACAAGATGTTAATGTCAGTTACAATCAGCCACCACCAGTAGACAAAAAAAAAAAAGGGCAGGACCCCACATGAAAAGGATAAAAGTGGGAACTACATAGAAAAGAAGACAAACAGAAAAACCTGAAACTCTTTTGCATAACCCCAAATTAAACTGCTCAAAAAAAAATGAAAGGAACACTACATCACGTATCAGGTCTTAATGAACAAATTATTCTAGTTGAAAACCTTTACTTATGTACATTGTATAATTTGTTCAGAACACAATGACAAAACGATCAACGGAAACCAAAATTATCAACCCATAGAGGCCTGGATTCAAAATAACAGTGGAAAACTGAAATCACAATGTGACTCAGAGTGTGTATGGACCCCAAGTGACTGTACACTTGTCTGACAATGTCTGGGCATGCTCCTGATGAGCGGGTAGATGGTGTCATGGGGGATCTCCTCCCAGACCTGGATCAGGGCATCGGTGAGTTCCTGGACAGTATGCGATGGTGCTGGGTGGCATCGAATGTACTGATACACAATGTCCCATAGGTGCTCAACTGAATTTAGGTCAGGGGGACATGAGGGGCCAGTCAATGGCATCAGTGCCTTCGTCATCCAGGAGCTGCCTACACACTCTCCGCATGAGACTGAGCATTGTCCCGCACCAGGAGGAACCCAGGGTTCACTGCACCAGTGTAAGGTCTGACAGCCGCTCTGAGGATTTCGTCTCAGTAACTCACAGCAGTTAGGGTACCGTTGGCTATGGCATGGAGGTCTGTGTGGTCCTCGAAGGATGTGAATGCCAGACCATCACTAACCCACCACCAAACCGATGTTACAGGCAGGATAACGTTCACCAGTGTCTTCAGACTCCTTCACGCCTGTCATATGTGCTCATTGTGAACCTGCTCTCATCTGTGAAGAGAACGGTGCACCAATGGCAGACCTGCCAATTCCAGTGTACTCTGGTGAATGCCAGTCGATCTGCACGGTGCTGGGCTGTGATCACAGGTCGTACTAGAGGACGTCAGGCCCTGATGTCACCCTCATGGAATCTGTTTTTGGCAGTTTGGTCAGAAACATGCACACTAGTAGCTGCTGGATGTCATGTTGTAGGGCTCTGGCAGTGCGTCTCCTGTTCCTGCTTGTACAGAGGAGCAGATACCGGTCCTGCTGTTCCTGTTGCCCTTCTACGGCCCTGTTCAGCTCTCCTGGTGTAACAGTCTCCTGGTATCATTTCCATGCTCTTAAGACTATGCTGGGAGACACAGCAAACCTTGCAACTGTACATATAGATATGCCATCTTGGAGTAAGTGGACTACCTGTGCAACCCAATGGGGCTGCAGGTACTGCCTCATGCTACCAGTAGTGACAAGGAATTCTATTCTATTCTATTCTATTCTATTCTATTCTATTCTATGTCTTGTGTGGTGGCAAGGGGTTAATGCCAACAACTGCTGTACTGTTGCTTACCACTAGATGCTAACATTAGCACTGAGCTGTGTGACAATGCTGCTGTTATTAACTGAGAAGCCTGGACTAGTAGTAAACATATTAGATGCCTGAGTTTGTAGCTAAGCATGCTTTCTGACCCAAAGAGTAACTTAATGTTTTTCAGTGTGATCTCACCTGAAGTAGGGTTGCCACATTCAGCATGAATAAACATATCCTGTCCTTCCATGGCTACCATGGCCATTTTTAGAGCATTAGCTGTACTTTGTAGTTGTGGACTATGATATAACTTTTCTTTACAAGCTATGGGAATTAAATCACAGAGTTATGTAAATAACAGACTACAATGTAACAAATATTATACAGCTAATTCATGTGTAAGCATTTCTATGTCATTTACACTGATCAGTCATAATATACTGTATGTGCAAACCTGGAGTAAGTGGACTACCTGTGCAACCCAATGGGGCTGCAGGTACTGCCTCATGCTACCAGTAGTGACAAGGACACGAGCAAAACACAAAACTTGAGAAGAATCAGTCAGAAAGGATCAGGAGAGGGCATTTGTCTCTGGCTGCCACATGTAAAACCATTCCCTTTGTGGGGGTTGTCCTGCTTTTGCTGCTCGATTGCACCTGTTCCTGAAACTGATTCACAGTCACTAGTGCTTACAGTCATACAGTAATGATCAAGTGTTCCCTTACGTTTTTTGAGCAGTTTATTTATCTGAAACAGAAGAACCGTTATTCTTCCACTACCCTCCAACACTGAAATCCCTGTAGACAAGCTAGTGTATACATCTGGCTCTCGGCCATGTGCCCATGCCTGCATTTTCAATAAGCAGTCGGGGGTTTGGTTCCTGCTCACAGTCTTTATGAACCCTGTGCCTGCTGTGAGCACCAAGCCCCTGAGTCATGTTGGTGACATCCGCTAGCTCTTGCCTCTGAGAAAGGGTGCTCACAATGTGTTCCAGCTTGGAGCGGATGGTGGTGTAGTGGTACTGGCGCTCTTTGGACAGCTTGTGGAAACAGTCCTTCAAGGTCTCGTCTGGAGCCGCCTGGGTGGCCGAGATCTGCCTGGAAGACACAAAGGAGGGAGAGGGGTCCTGGTTTGGTCCTGTGCTTGTCAGAGCGATAATGGGTTGTGTGAGCTGAGGGTCAGTCTGGGTGTCACTGTCCATCGCTGACCAGCTTGTCTGCGTTGAGGCATGGCAGGAGACAGTACTGGGGGTCTCTGCTAGCTGCTCTGTGGAGAAACACTGTGTGGCACTGCTAGCCAGGATCTCCTCCTGCATGTGCTGCTGCTCCATCCAGTCTTCACCTATGGTGGAGGAGTCAGACTCTGGGCCCATTTTTTGACAATTTGGAGTAGAGGGTGCGCATGGAAGCTCCACTGCTAAGGTAAGGGGCTTGTGGCTAGGCGTGCTGGTCAGACGCACAGGCTCCACAGGCCTCTGTCTGGCCAGATGAGGGGAGATGGTGACTGAGTCTTTGTTGAGGGGGTGCTCATAAATGCCGCTGTTGCAGACACCTAGAGGTCCTCGAGGGTTTATAGGTAGAGACTGGGCGTAGAGGACGCGGAACTCCTCGTCAAACTTCTCTGTTATCTGGCCAGACAGCTCGATCAGGTTGCTGCTATTCAGCTTGCCATCTGTCCAGTTGAACCTACACATATGAAAGAGATTTAATGACATGTTTGAATGAAAGTAAGCAGCTGCGCCCGTGAAGCTCTGAAGAAAAATGCATTTACTTTATAGTCTGGTAAATGTGGGGGTTTTCTCTGCTACATAATAGTCGGCTAAGCAGAGCATGTCCTATTTAATTTTAGGTAAAATTGTTAGTAGGTTGTTACCTATATGAACCTGTGGCCACTCTGTTCCCATCAATCAGCATGAACCTCTCATGAACTTTCCCAGTGATCCTCGCTCCTGATCTCATGTAATAAGTCATACCAGCTACGGTTCGCACTCTCATTTGCTGTAAGCATTTAAAAAAATACAGAGAAACAACAGCAGTTGTAGATAAGCACAGACACACCCATGATTAAAAAACATGTTTTAATTTGATGTCATCTGAGGTTCATTTCGCGTACACACAGAGCCACACCCAGCTTTAATGAACTAATCACATACCCGAAGGTCATCCAGACGAACGCTGACATTTCTGCACATCTTGAGGAAAGCAGCAGCGCATGATTGTTCGAGCAGGATGTAGACAGGGACTCTACGTTGGGAGCATGCCTCCTGAAGATCCTTAAAGATATCCAGGTCTGTCAGGGAGTCTGTAACTATGGCAATCACCTGCAGTGGAAAATTACAGGGGTAATAAAACTGAATTCCTTTTAGGGCCGCAGCTGCGTGCTCCTGGAAGTGGCACATGATTGTTTTTTCACTATTATCAAAAACAAGGTCTTATTCAAACAGAGCCGCGACTCTGTCAGACACACTCCCTGTAATGCATGTGCTGATGAGCTTTCTATTGACTGTGGTCTGTTACCATGGCAATAGGCAGTAGCGCTTGGTCAGCAAACAAATTACTTCTATACAGGAGACAAGTAGATGCAGTGTAGGGCTTGCCTCTATTTTTCTGAGCTTTTGTTTTGCATAGCAATTTCTCTTTTTTCTAAGGAGGAATGGAATTTCACATGCTGTGGAAACGGCTGCATGTGGAGGATTAGACACAGATGTTTACATATCTCAGATTTATGCTTCACACTGGTGCTATACACATGCAGCTTTGTCAGGAGTTTCCCACCTTATCTGGACCATAATGTGTGCACGCTTATTTTTAGGAAAATGTGTTAACAAAGATACATGCCCAAGTTGTTTCTGTGAGCTGACTAGTGATGATACAGGCACACGCTGTGTTGTTACACTCAGTGGCCTCTTTGTATAATAAAGACTGTGCAGTGGGTGGTATAACATTACAAAGAGGCCAGACGGTCTCACATTTAAACTGGATAAAAAAGGTTTCAACGGGTTTCCAGACAGAAATCGGTTATACATCCCACCAACTTTTAGCTATAGCAGAGAGAAAACTCATAAAAGAGGGAATGCAAATCACAGAGGAGAGCAAGGCAAGTCCAGGCACATCTGGAACGCAGGCCCTACACAAGCCTGAGGTGCTGCTGAAGCCGCAGACTCCCTCTTCATGCTGGAATATTTTCAAAACCAGAGACTGGTCTAACAGCTCCCATCAGCAATGTCACCATGAATATTAATGCTCGGTTTGTTTTATCCTTCGGTCACTGCTTTTATTAAAAAATCTTCTATCTACAATTCAGACTGATCAAGGAAATAACCTGGCATGTATTTTATGGACGTTCCTGGGGAGTTTTAGCTTTTCCCTTAAAAATGTTGTGATGCTTTTGTTTTGTGGTGGGAGGCCTGTTTGATAAAACATCAATATGAACTCACACACAACCAAAATAAAAGTTTTGCTTTATAAAAAAAATACTACACAAATCCATCCTGTCATTGTATTAGTGTAGTATTTGCCTTAGTTTTTGTGTTATTTATTTATCTACTTCATATTTCATTTGTATTTGTATTTGTATTTGTGGCATTCATGTGGATGGCAAAGTAAGAATTTCATTGTACAGGGAAACACGTTTCCTAACTGTGCATATGACTAATAAACACTTTGAACTTGATCTATTTAGGGCTGGAAAATAGCAATGAAACTATAGGAATATTACAATATACAATGTGGGATTGTAAAATATTAAAGAGACAACTGCATTGTACACAATATGTGCTTTGGTAATATCATGCTCAAAAAATAAGGAAGGGTTTGTTTTGTTTAGAACAATACAATTACTTGGCAAATTATAAGGAATTGTAACATATAATTATGCAACATGTTTTTCCTTGGTGCATACCTCTCTTGCACTTTTAATCATCCTCCTCGCTGCCTCCTTGCAGCTGTAGATGCACTCCCCGTAGCTGGGCTGGAAGTGCGCCACGGCCCGCGTGACTCCCCGGTACGACCCCGCGGTGAACGCGGGCCAGCCCATCTCCAGCATCGGCGGCTCCACGTCAGATACCTCGGGGAAGTAGGTGACTGAGGAGCAGTCCAGGGAGCTGCTGAGCGACTGCTCCAGCCCCTGGTCCTCCCCGTGGAGGGACACGTACGGAGGAGGCACGGTGGCGCTCCTGATCCGCTGGATCTCATCGTCAGACAGAAAGTTGGGGATCTTCTCTTTCCTGAGGAAGTCCAGGAAGTTGTCGAGCCCGCCTGACAGCAGCTCCTCCAGGGCCAGCCGGTGTCTCTCGTTGTACACCTCCTGCGGGTTCACGTCGTCGGCCCGGATGTGTTTTAGACGCAACCTAAGAGGTGAGTCGTCCAGACACTGGGACAGCGCCATTGCTGCAACAGGTACTGCTCTCTTTCTCAAACAGGGTCCACAGTGATAAAGGTGGCAGGTAACGTTTTGACCTACCGGAAGACAAATTCGTATTTTGATTCTTCCCTCTGTTCCCATCCGTATTGGCTGTCGGATAGTTGCTAAACAAGAACGGCGGCTCCGGGCTCGTCGAGTCAGGCTGTCAGTCTAATGTAAAGCCGGTCTCATTGGCTCATTTGGAAGCAAACAGCTCTCCTGTACATCCCTCTGCTCTGCCCTGATCCGGTTACACCACAGAGAGCAGGGGCGGCAGGAGCTCTCACTCTGACTCCTTTTCCTCCTATCACGGACGCTGGTGATTCACTGAGACCAGTATCCTCAGTCTCACAAATCCAACACTTCTTTCTACTTCCACTTTACAAGATAAACATGTAGAAAGTAATTTCCCCGATCTGCCCACTTGCCTGTCATGTGTTACAGTGTGGCAAGCTTGTGAAGCATTAGCACTGTCGCCTGACAGTACCTAACCTTAGTGGGATTCTACCAGGTTAAAAATGTGATAAACATCTTTAAACTGCAGTTCAAATTTACAGCAGCTCCTACAGAAAAGAGTCTACCACTCTAAACACCCAGCATGATTTTAATTTAGAAGATGATCAAGTCAGAAATGCTCTGTACATTTTCTTGGGGCCATCTAAACTGTACCGAGCCATTACAGAGCAACAAACTGTGATCAGCATTGTTTCAGCATATATGTGCACCAAATATATTGCTGTAATGACAACACAATTTGTCATGAGTGAAATGTCTTTTAATCCTGGTACTCAACCAGACTACACGTCTCACTCACGGGCTGGGTTTTTGTTTTACCATGGAGTGACTCATCTGCCTCATAGATCATCTTTATTTTCCCTGACTGCACACTGCACAGCACATACAATATAAGCAACGTCTACAGCTACAGTCAGGACAAATTGGGAGGGAAGAGCAAATCCATGTTTCCTATATATTTCCTAGAGGCTTGCACTTGCCCTGTCAGGTTAATACGTTACAATAGACAGCAATGATGTTATATTTGTGTCGCATGCACTGTATTTCCAGGCTTTAGTGCCGCTACTGTTGCACACAGTGTAGCCTATACGTCTAATTTCAAATTATCACTATGGGCTAATGTTTCTGGGCAGACAATGAATGTTTCCGTAATACTCAGTATCTTTAGACTGACCTTAACAGATAATGCTGTTTCTGTATTATTACTTATCCCAGTTTCTTCGGTTGGGGCGACATGTGGAATTGTTTTAAAATATGCTTTTAACATACATTACCATAGTTTCTCTTTATTAACCTTTCTTTTTCTATTAGATTCAAATTCTTAAGTCGTCTGTCTGCTCTGCGCTTTTTAGTGCGCTTTTACGCACAAGGCCAACAAGGTCATGGGAGTCACAGTGTAAACGGCATTTTATACATCAATGTATAGCTGCCATTAGTAGTTTTATTTAAGGAAATGTTTAACTATAGAAACGGGCATGAACATCTGGACTACATTTACTGGGCACCTGCGTAAATTGCCGTGCCACTATTACGCGTGCGTGTAAAAGTCTATTTTAAGACGTAAGCTAATAGGCCGATGCTTTAAATGACAATTCCCCCAGCGATTAATATTCATAGTATCCCATCAAGAGGTTTTTTACTAAAGACTGCGGCCATTTGTTGAACAAAGTGACCCAGTTCAGAGAACCTTTTTGGGTGATGAATCTCATTTGACAGATCAGTAAACTCCTGTCAAATCCCAGATTTCTACAACACAGTCCATGTGTTCAGCCTGCTCCGCGGCGCCATTGTAGTTCTGTAGAAGCCAGTCTGTTAGCACACTGCCTTACCCCTATAACGACATACCCAAATTTGCACTGGGCTCAGTATATGTACCCCCCTCCTCCCTCTCTACACACACGCCCGCACACACACACATCCCGATCTCATCCCCGCCCCTCTCCAAAATTTTAGATGAAAGGGCTTTTGGATTTTGGATGACGCTCCCAATCACGTGTTCATAGGAAATACACTCGCTATAATTTTTTTGGAGCTGCCTCGTCCTGCACCGCCGACCATAGTTGTTTTGCCGTCTCCATACAGTGCGGCTGAGGGGTGGAAAGGTAATGTAATGTAATGTACCTTGCCGTGGTCACTGACGGGTTCACGCCAGTTCACGGGGTTCACTTGAGGAGAGCTCCCACCCCCTGTTCGCCTCCTCTTCTTCTCAAAGCGCAACGATCGGAGCTAATCCAATATTATTCATTTATATATTAATGTCGGATTCCATTTTTCACACCGACCGCTGAGGTAAGGACAACACATCTTCCACAACACGAATACCTCTCATTAGCTATCTGGTGAGGTGCGATCTCCAAAGTTGTTTACTGAAATTATGTCTCGCTCTTGAATATTGAATTTTCATCTGGTGCTGTAGTCAAGGCAGTTTACATGAAGTCGCCAATGTATAAAATGGCGACAGTAGGTGGAGGAGGGGGTGGAGGATTTTTGGGAATATTCATAAGGTTATATAGAGTACCAGATCGCCTTTGGCAAGTAGGCTCCGAGGCAGTGTGTTGCCCCACAGCCTTGTGAATGGAGTGAAGCGGGTTAACTCGTCAGTTTGTTACAGTTACAAGAGCGGATCGTCCGTCGGGCTGGATTTGTGCTGCTTCTCGCGCTATAGGCTACAATGTGACGTATCTGCTTATTTTATTGCACAACGCGCTGTATTTCCCCGCTGAGCTGTAAACACGACTTGCCAAAGACTTCTGAACACAGCGTTATAGCAGGCTTATTGGCTCATATAAGAAGCCACGGAGTTAACAGATGTTCCAACTGCATGCCAGTGATCAATGTTTGTCCATTGATCGCTCACTCTACAAATTTCTTCCTCTTGCCAGAGCAGAAATTAAGCCTGTATCTTTATGCAAAGGACTCCTTTTCTTTCATTTCCTCCTCTTCTTCCTACCAACATGTGCTGCTGCCCAACTCGCGCGCACACACGGAGACATACACAGTACAGTAAGAAGAGCTGCTCATTTCGGGAGCACGCAGACATTTTGCAAACATCTGATGTATCATCAGTGAGGCACTGTATTCAAAACATCAGCTCATGTATGGTCACATTTTCTCTCTCCAGGTAAATGTTGAGCCAAGTTTGAATGCCATGTGTCTCCCTCTGCTTTCAGGGGAGGGACCTCTGTGCTGACTAATGTTGCCTCTGTGCATCATGTGTGGGTCCAGTGTCAGTAACACAAGAGACAAGCTCATATTATTCAAGCTGCCAGCTAGACAAGCATGAATCACTGGTAAAATTTGGAATGCATTTTAATCATTTAACCAGCTAAGCTTGTTACATATAATGTAGGTCATGGAAATGACTGTACTCCACATTTGGTAGAATGTGGAGTACAGTCTGGTCTCCAGTGGACATTTCTGTATGCTGAGAGTTCATTTGCAGGCACGTGATGACCACAAATACAAAGGTAAATGAGCTCTCGCTGTGCAGCTCCAGTGGACCGGGTTCAGCTTGGCCTGGTGAGTTCAGTGTGTGTGGAGGCTTTAACTCCAGCAGGACGCTTGCACTGAGGGAATGTCAATTCCCTTTGTGGGTCCCTGGGAACGGCCTTCCATCTCCCTTCTCGGAACTTCTCTAATGAGGCCAGGCATATTGCCTTTCATCCCTCACTCCCTGCAATTAGACAGCTCACAGTTTTCGTTATGGCCACAGCTGGGTGTTTGTATACACAGACGCAATGGAGTGGACCAAGAGTGTCCACCCCCCTCTGTGCATGCCACCCCCCATATACCTGGAATACTGTACTTGTCAGGCTTTGGTGTTCTGATTTCTAACAGCAGCCACTGTGGTTGTAATGTTTGTGTGTGCCTCCCACAGCTCAAACTGAATCCCCTGCCAGAAAATACCATGAAAGGTCATATGGTCGTGATTTGCAGATTTAGCCGACAGAGAGTGTATAACATTCCTCGAGTTCAGAGAAGAAAACAACCATCTAATGCCAACCAGATCCATTTTCTAGCCACTTTCAATAAACAAGCATTCACGACAGCAGCATACCTCATGATCCTCATAGAAAATTCTTCGAAACACAACGCTGAGTCCTATTTTTCCCATCAGAAAGGACAGTGTTCTATACAGATTCACTTTTATTTGGGTCTTTCATCCTTTTTGGTATTGCTTTTGTCATCGGAGCAATGCCATATCGAAGCCCGAGACCACTCAAAAGCCTCACTAAAACAGCATGTTTGCACAGTTCTAACCAAAAGAAACGCCTGTGCACTGACGGGGGGGGGGGAACCCTTGGGGCTAGTGGGGAGAGAGCCCCTGCCACTTTCTCTGTCCCATACAAGAATGGTTTGGTCAGCAGGAGCTGGCATTTGCCAGGCTTTGGCAGTAAGAGGAGGCTGTGATGTCAGCCATTTTAGGATGGACGTTACAATGTGCGGTACGCCGCCATCTTTCTTCCTTTTTGTCTGAAGTTGCCAAATGAATGCCTGTAGTCTTGGCTACAGAACTGAAGAAGTTATTCATCAAAAGTGTTGTAAAAGGATGCATGACTCAGAGGTTTTTCTCTGCACACTCCAGTTTATTTTTCTGTCATTTCGTCTGGGCTACAGACAGAAGGGTTTGGAGAACAATGTAAGATTTTAACAGTGAACACTCGCCCTAACACAAAACAGGACTGTGCAACAAAAGATGCTCAGACAGGCAGAGTGCATTAGGTATGTACTGTACCGCATCAGTCTCCAGGCCTCAACACTGATTTAGCAAGAAACTATCACTGACAGGAGGTAGTTGTTAGAGTGGACCTCCGCCATGTTTCTTTCATCGGCCGCTGTCACAGACATAAGAACAGCGGGGCAGGGATTTCTGTGTCCATACAACCTGACTGGGAAAGAAAAAGGCAAAGTTGTGGTTGTGAACCTCAGCCAAAGTTATCCGAGAGAGACTTGAACCGCGAAAGACCTTTTCAAAGATGACTTGGCAGGGCATGTGGATTAACTGTGTCTTGACCTGCACCGGATGCAGTCCAGGGAATTCGGTGTGTATATGTGTGTCTTTGAGGTTGGTGGGTGTGGGCAAGTGACTCCGCTGTGTGTGTGTGTGTGTGTGGCATGGTGGGCAAGGGGAAGAGAGGGGTTGCCATGGCGATGTTAACACATGAGTGGCACCACCGACCGGTCTCCCAGTGGACGAGGCTGCAGTCATGGAAGTATGGGAGGGAGAGCGTACATGGGTGTGTGTGTGTGTGTGTGCAGCGGGAGGAGAAGGAGGATGAGGACGAGATGGCTGACAACACCTGCGTCTCAGACGTTCAGACACTAATATGCACACAAACACACCCATGTAAAGAAAAACGCAAGACCTCGCAGTGGAGATGGAGACTACTACACCCTGAACCTGTGTGTCTTCAGCTGGACAGGCGCTGAAGACAGCCCGAACTCGTGTGCTGTATTAGCACTGTGCTAATGACCCTGGTGACTCTGAATTGTTTTTCAGCACACGTAACACTAGAGCCTGACACTTATTCACTCTGGCAAGCGTACAGTGCCATTCACCCACAAAGATATCTCCAAACTGAAATCTGTCCACCCTTACTATCAAAAACAATCCCACATTAGTCCACGCTGGCAGCGTGATGGACACAGGAGACACCCAGACACGCAGGAAACTGAACAACCGCAATTCGACTGTCAGCCGTCTAAAGGCTCCCAGCGCTGGATCATGTTTCCCTTACAAATGAGGCGCCATTGTTCCCAGTCTCTTCTCTGTAATTGCTCTCTGTCTCCAGCTTATATTTGGGTGTCCAGCTGATCCACTCTCCTGACATTAATCTGTTTAATGGGTAGTTGACAGAAAATGTTCCTGGTAAACGGATTTTTTTGATAATTCAAATGTACCTGTCAGGAGTTCCCCCATCTCTGCCCCAACCCCCAGCGGGCGTCAGGTAATTTTTGTGGGCTGAAGCAGACTCTCAAGACAGCCGCAGATCACTGTCAAAGTAAATTACACACAAGACAAATACTGTCATAAGTGAAAGGGATTTATGCCTCTTTTTTTGTTTTGTAGCTGTACTGCGAGCGTTGCATCAAGAAACTCCTTGCCAGTTATTCAGTTCAAAGAGAAAGATTGTCAGAACGGTGCAGGTGCTAAATGTTGCGGAGGTGAGGAGGGAGCGTGTGTGGAGATGTGTGCCTAAGAGGTGTCAGCAGGGAGGAATATTGAAACAGCACAGCCTGTCATCATCATCAGTCATCCTCTCACTTCACTCCCAAATGTCTGAGTTTTGTCTTCCTTTGTCCTTCCCCCTCCTCCAGCCTTCCCATTCTCATTCATGTGACAGGCGGCACTACAAAACCTCCAATCTCCGTTTGCTAATGTCAACTGTAGGTGACCCAACAATCTGGGAGGGTCTGAATCAGTGGACTGTTTTGAATTAAATTTTAATGTCTAGCAACCACTTTGCAGCCTCGCCTCCCTTTCCGCTGGCAGCAGCTCGTTGTAGATTGGGCACGTTTTTCCTCTTGTATTATTGTAATTACTGCAGCAGTTTATGAGGTGATGAAAGGGAATACATGCTGCCTTCTTTCAAATGGTTTACTGAAATGGGAGCAACACGCTCAGCTGTTTGCCATTTGAAAATATAGAGAATCTAATCAAATATGAATGAGATGTAAAATATAATATTGTTATGGGAATGACAGTGTAAGAGCACATAAGGGAGGCCCTCCTGTAAGTCTTAAAGCTGCTGTTAAATCAGGCGGAACCTATAAACCCCATCAGAATATAAACCTAGACTAATCCCATTTGTTTGGAAATGCTTGTTTTTGAAAAGCTGAATGGTTTAAACATAGTTTTAGTTCAGTGAGCAAGGCTCCTCTGCTTACGCTGAGCGTGGGTGTTCAGAAAGCACGCCTGAGAGCTCTGACACGTTACCTCGCTTCAGTTATGAGTCAGTGATCGCCACTGAAACACAAGGCCTGGCTTTTCAGAGGGAACCATTCAGTGGCTCCGGGAAACCCTTGTCTTGAGTTTGATCGCACGTCTCACTCGCCAGATAAGGCAGTCCGTTCTTTTGATAGGTGACCTGATTCTTTATGTAATGTTCCTCAACCTCTGTCTTGTTCTGGGTTTTCACATGCAGGAAGCAAAGTGTTTTTTTCAGGGAGGGGAGCTTCTGTAGACCAGCATCTGTCTCGTCACAGACCGGCGTCTCCTCTGGCGGCTGCTGCACCAGTCACAGCCTGGCGCCGTGACCACATTACCTGCTCCATCACTTTATTTTCTGAAACGTCCTGGCATAGTGTGCGCTGTCTGTGGGACAAACAAAACGAATCACTTCACCACAGCTTAACTGAGCCAACATAGTGACATCTCTCACACAGATGTTTCAGATGTGCATGACTACATACCTGTGTTGCGTGAAAGCTGACTCCTAAATCCCCCATTCAGTGGAACGAACTCAGTGAACACCGTGATCTCACCAGGGGTTAGTCGAGTGTGCCATCAGAGGATATCATGACCTTCCTGGCAGCAAAACATATAGCACATGCCCACGTCTAGATACAGTGAACCAGGCTTAGTGTGTAAGATGCTGGTGACCTAGTTTTTTTGTTTGTTTGTTTTGTTATAGGGTTTTTTCTGCCATAGGGCAGCAGCCTCAAGTAGAAATGAAAAGGAGGTAGACATCAAAGTCTGGGATCACTGTGTACTATTTGGGCAGTCATTTGAGGGATTTAATTCTAGAACAGGTTCATCTTTTATTTACCACTGAGGGCAGCCATGGTGAACTTTGCACATGTGGATGCAGTAAAATGAAAGTCTGTTGACACTAATTTCTTTTTAACCAACAAACTGTTCTTCAAGGTGTTGAGGTATGCTGGATTTCAACAGAAAGCAGTTTTTGGGCAGTGTGTGTAGCTGATGTTTTTCCCAGAATATTCATGTGTGCATGAGAAAGTAGAGCCTGAGTGATATGGATAGATGATGATAGGAAGAGACTAGTTTTCAGCAGCATGTCACACATCAACACTTCTCCATTTTCAGGAAAGGAAGACCAGAGTGATATATAGAGGCTCTGTGTATGTGTGTGTCACAAGCTCGTGAAGATGGCACAGGGTGCAGTGCTCCACTTTGATGCATCTTTCCAATCATTTGTTTTGTACTTTACAGTCTTACAATGACAGTATTAAAACCCGTTATACCACTGATGAAACACTGACTGTAGCCATTGTCTTGTCCTACAAACTTTGTCAAATATGTGTGGCTTTGTGAGAGACCGAGGCGTGTTTTCAGTTTTTATTGTGAAAAAGAAGGAAGAGGAATGCTGAAGAGTGCAGAGACAATCCATATCCATCTTTACTGGAGTGTTACAGGAAGAGAGAGCCTGTGGATGTGGTTTGCTAATGGATTTGCACACTCAGTGATCTGGGTATTGGGTTTGTATGCAATGCCATGCTGCTCGTTGAACAAATGTAGGATGAGATGGTTAGAGCCTGCAGCTTGTAATGGCCTCAGATGTGTTTGTAGTAACCTTCTCAGGCCCTGAGGGAATGTTTCAGGTCCTTAACAGTACTGAAGTCAGCTGACTGCTGACACACACACACACACACACAAACACATATTTGTTTTCACTCCTTATGGAGATATTATATTGACTTATATTAATTTCCTGGAGATTTATCCTAGCCTTTACCATAAGAACTACTTCCCTAAACCAAATCTTAAGCCAAGTTGTCAACCCTTGTCCAGTCCTCTTAAATGAAGGCTGAGTGCCCACAGTGTGACTGTATGAATAAGGTTTGGTCCCCACACTGTGAATAATGCCACACACGTACATCATCTGATTTCCCCTTTCGACACTACATTATGCTGTAATGCCCAATGTAAAACATACAACTCACATGCAAGTGTGGCAGTAAAATTCTCACCCCCACCGCCAAAGTCATTTAACCTTCACATGCCTGCTGTACATTATTAAACCAAAGAGGAACAGGACAATGGAACCCTGTACGTAAAAAAATCAAATTAAATTTAATTCAAGAAAGCACCCCGCCCACACACACTTATACTGACAAACAAATAGTAGTACATACATATTTTTGCAGACAAACAAATCCGTGCGCATATTTTTGCGTATTTGCGGTGTGGCAGACAGTGTGACACAGCTGTTTACTTTAAATACCAGTAAGCTGAAGAGATGAAGTGCATCCCACTGTATAGGTGCAAAATCCCCAAGGTAATCTGTGGACCATATTTATTTAGCGATATAAACATTTTCTTGGAGGGAGGCGGATCTTAACACTGATTCAAACTCATCACATTTACTGCACATTGTACACTATATTTACTGTAGCTCTAAATGTAGTGCTTCTTACATGTTTTGTTAATGTTGTGAAGCTTTACTAAAAATAATTCTGTGGACATGTGCCTTCGATAATTAGAAAAGCCAAATCTATGACAGCAGTGAAGGAAAACAACAAATATCACAGAGATTAGACTGTCATTTCTTCCTCTGTTGATTATTATGCTCTTTTTTTCTGAATTCATAACTTGTGGCAGCTAGACAGGAGTCTGTAAATCCTAGTAAATAACCAGAACGCTGACAGGCTGCATTGATTGAAGGAGTGTGCGGGTGGGCGGGTGGATGTCTGAGAGTCCCAAATTATTTTTGTTATTGAAAAGCCTTTTTCTTTGTAGACCCCTTCGATATATATTAATGAAGTAAATATTACTACATATTACATTACTACACTTATAACCCTGTTTGGGGCTGTTAGCTTCCTTTGCATCCTGGAATATGTCATGTGTACAGTATAGATTTCATGTTTTATATTTTAATTAATCCATTGTCTATATATGGTAGGCTATGTAGTTTTTTTGATGATGATGATGATGATCATCATCATTCGATGATGGTTGGGTTGAATGATTAAATTCCATTTTTCACACGATACCCCTCTGTTTTCTATTTACATACTGTGCTGTACTGTCATTTCTTTCTCTGCATTTATTAAAACAAATATGGGCTGAGAGTCACACTATTTGTACTCTTTCCTCACAGGTTCCCTGGGAGCTGTGACAGGAGTCCTAAAGTGGCAGAAGGCATGAAGCAACACCGTGATATCATAGTGGCTTGTCCATGACACTAAACTCCATTCAACCCTCTCCACTATCCACCCACCCTCTGTTCTCATCATACCGGACAACCAGTCACTCACTATCCCATCTACACAAAGCTGCACAATGGCCAGCAAGAGGAAATCCACTGTACCCTGCATGATACCATCCAAATCCAAATATGTGCGTGAGGAAATCATACTGGGCTCACTACCAGAACTCCTACCAACAATCCCAGAGGACAGCATACTCAGCATCTCTGGAGAAGAGTCTGGCCATGTCTCTCACAGCTCCTCCAAATCCGAAAGTGGCAGTGAGATGCAGAAAGGAGGCACATACAGCTGCCCGACTTGCCGTTTTGAATCCAGAGATTTAAACTACTTTTTGGATCACATGCACAACTGCCACTTAGACTTCAGGGCCCAGCCCACGTTTTACTGCCTGAACTGTGGGGTGTCAGTCGTCCGCTTTGAGGCCCTGGCTCTGCATAATGCCAACTCCCACCCGAAGATAATGGAGGGCTTGGTCACCGCCTCCCTAACTGTCAACAAGCGGGATGGAGTAACAACTGTTGAACAAAGCCTGTTCACAGCCAGTGGAGAAGACTACAGAGAATCTGGGATCTCTGTCACCAAAACGCCAATTGCAAAGATGATGAAAGCTAAGGGTGATCACAAAAAGATTGTGGTTTCTCACACCGTGGAGGTACGGAAGATAGACAGTGGAAAGGATATAGACCCCAGCATGCTGACAAATGTGCCTGAACTCCAAAACGGGGCTCTCAGTGTTTCTGGTGCCCCAGCTATGCCGAGGACCACTGTCACTCATGTGATTACGACGACAGTGTCCAACCAAGTCTTTCACCAGCACACTCCCTCCCTTTACTCTCCCCCCTCCTCTGATTCCAATAAAGACCTTCCAAAGGTGATGATCCCTCTCAGCAGCATCCCCACCTATGATGCCGCCATGGACACCAGCAGCTTTCTCAAGACATCCTTTGGCAAGTTCCCTTACCCGACCAAAGCCGAACTCTGCTACCTGACAGTGGTCTCAGAGTTCCCCGAAGAGCAGATCAAACTGTGGTTTACTGCCCAAAGGCTCAAGCAGGGCATAAGCTGGTCTCCTGAAGAAATCGAAGAGGCCAGGAGGAAGATGTTCAACACCGTGTTCCAGGGTGGTGCACCTCAGAAGCAACCTGCTACACAGCGGCATGTCAATCACATTGTAACCCACCACACTGTCACTGCCCATCCAGGCTCAAAAGGACCAAATTTTCAGATGGCCAAAGTTCCCTATGGCAGCATAAAAACCAGGCCTGTTGGGGCCATAGCCACACAGGCCAGCATGTCAACCAACCCCCATGTCACCAGGGTCTCATATTCTACTCCAGTTGTCCCCCCAAAGTTTCCATCCATAGTCAGAACAACACAGGTACTAACCAAGAATACTCAGCCCACTGTGGAGCCAGACAAGAGCAATGGCCTCAGCCTGGACATGGCTGGAAGCAGTGGTTGTGTCAGTAGCACCAGCAGCAGTCGAAGCAGCAGTAGCAGCAGTAGTTGCAGTAGTAGCAGCAGCATCAGCAGCTATTCCAGCAGTAGTAATGGTGGTGAGACTGTCACCAGGAAGCCGGTGCATAACAGCAGCCCGACCAACAGTATCAACAGCACTGTCACTTGCTCGACCAACATTAGCAATAATGATGAGCACTGTGTTACTGACACCAACGGCAAGCCAAATCTCAAAAACAACACTTTACCTGTTGGATTGGAAGGTTCAAACAGCACCAAGAGTCAAGTGATCATCAACAACACCAGCAAACCCAACGTCAGCTGTAATAATCATAACAGCGGTATCATCAGTCCACAAGAGCAGGTTCCCACTGCAAAGCACGAAGACGAACGCAACAACTACATCCACAAGACCAACAACAGCAGCATTAGCAGTGAATACTCCAGTACTATCTGTAATGACAGTGTCCCTAACCTGAACCATGCCAGCAAACCCCAAACTGAAAGCACCAGCACCACTGTCATTGCAAAAAGCAGCTCATCCATTTTAGATGAGGATAAATGCAACAAGGACTTTCCCATAAAAGGCATGTCAATCTTAAAGCAACTCATTAAGGAGGAGGACCCTTTTGCTGGAGACAGAGCCTGCCCAGAGCTAAATGTTGACCCCATCAAGATCAACTTCAAGAGGCTGAAGAGGAATGAAGCGGAGACTACATCTGAGACTGTACATCAAGAACACAAGTCTGAGATAGCTGAGGTGTCTGCTTCTCAGCCATCTTTCTCACCCCCTTGGGGCAACAAGACCCCCCAGCAACTGCACATCCTCCGGCAGGTTTTCTCCAATACCCGCTGGCCCAGCAGTCAGCAGTACGAGGAGCTGAGTGTCCAGACAGGCCTTCCCAAATCAGAGGTGGTGCGCTGGTTCAGCGACAGCCGGTATAGCCACAAGAATGGGCAGCTAAAGTGGCTGGAGACCTATCAACGACCACCTGTGGAGTCAGAACAAGAAATGATAGACCATGGATCTGCTGAAGCCAAGTCACCCAAGGACCCTCCAGTGGCCAAAAAGAAACCTTTTGAGCAAGACGTGAACCAGCACCTTGAAGGCGAACCAGGAAAGAACTCAGAGCAGCGGGTTGTATGGCAGGAATCATACTCACCGCTGCTGGGTCTGATGGAGTCCGAGGGGAGTGGCGAGCGAGGCCAAGCTGAGGAATCAGGACAGCCAGGATCCCTGCAGGATCCCTGGTCAGAGAGAACAGAGGACCACCAGGAGCCAGTGGCCAGTCAGTCACTCATCGAACAACAGACTGATGCCAGTCAGGCCAGGTACAGTACTTCAGTCATAATGCTTGAATGACAGTGTGCTACTGAAGTAAAATATACTTCTCATTCACAGTGCCTTGTTACAAGCTTAGTGCTGCTTATCAGTCACAAAAACAAAAACAGTGTAAGCCAGGTGGAGTGATGAAAGCATGACAGGTTGTTGTTTGTAGCCATTGCTGTGTGATGTACAGTAAAAAGGAGGCAGGAGAGGTGTGTACAGGAACTCATGCTGAGTAGCTTATTCAGGCAATCAAAGGTCTCTGTTTAAGAAGCTATTTTTAGATAACTAGGAATCTGGACTGTTGAATTATAGAAACAGCATGCAAATGTATGGGAATAAATCATGACAGTTGTCTTTGGTGAGAAGAATTTCAGAGGCAAGATAACCCATACACAAGCTTCTTCTCATAATGCTCCCTCCCAAAAAGTACCTCACTTGCACAACCCAACAGTAATACAATACAACAAGAACTTTCCAATCATGGTCTCATAGTCTGTGCATGTCATGTGTGTGTCGCTTACAGGGATCGCCTGAGGATGGAGCTGCTGGAGGTGTGATGAAGCAGACCCACTCTCACCAGAGGAACATGCTGTTTGCTCCCCTGGCCACGGTCTAAAAAAAAAATAAATAGAGTGTTCGTAATGACAGCAGATGTGATTGTAGCTGGACCGTTGGACTCTGACTGTAACTGTGAATACCCCCACCCCCCTCCTCCTCATCCAACTCCTACTCTTCCATCTGCCATCACTTCCTGCCATCGTCAAAAGAAAGAACTTCTCACCTTTGAGTCCTGTGATGTTTAAGCCTTTCATGCTTTTTTATGGTTGTGTGGGGAGGGTGCACAATGAGGTCAGTGTGAGGGATCAAAGAAAAGAAAGAGAAAAGACGCACACTGACTGGAAAACTGACTTGAATGAGCGAAGATAGGATAGGGTAGTGCCAAGAGATATTGTTTTGGGGTCAGAGATATATATATATATAGATAGATAGATAGGGCAGCATGGTGTTACAGTGGTTAGCACTGTCACCTCACAGCAAGAAGGTTCTGGGTTCAAGCCCCAGCACCTTTCTGTGCGGAGTTTGCATGTTCTCCCTGTGCCTCTCCCTGTGTGAGTTCTCTCCAGGTGCTCTGGCTTCCTCCCACAGTCCAAAGACATGCAGCTTAGGTTGATTGGAGACTCTAAATTGTCCATAGAAGTGAATGTGGATGTGTATCCTTGTGTGATGGACTGGTGAACTGTCCAGGGTGTACCCTGCCTCTCACCCAGTGTCAGCTTGGATCGACTCCAGCTCTTATGACCCTCTTCGGGGTCTGTATGTTCAGCTTAGGTTGATTGGTGACTCTAAATTGCCCCTAGGAGTGAGTGTGGGTCTCTAAGTATCAGCCCTGTGATAGACTGGCGACCTTTCCAGGGTGTACCCCACCTCTCACCCAATGTCGTTTTGGATTGGCTCCAGCCCCCCACGACCCTATTCAGGATAAGCGGTATAGATAATGGATGGATGTGTGTGTATATATACACACACACACACACACACACACATATCTATATATATGTGATTGAAACTGCACTATAAAATAGGGTTTGTATTGACTGGACAAACAAAAGATGTATTAAGGAAATGTTGTTGGCTTTGTGATATTTTTTACTTTTTTAGCAACCAGTACTTCAGCACTGCCTTGAACTTTTTTCCATTATTTGTTTTTTCAATTCTATTTCCTCTTCTATAGTCACTGTAAGTCCAGATGCAATCAAACATGTTTTTTTTAAATCTGTAAAATGTTGGTGATCACTTTGCAGTTTAGCTACATGCAAGAGACTATATACAATGCACTAATGAAGACAGCAATGCTAAAAATCACACTGCCCCACAATAAAGGTTTTGACAGCTCTGTCAGGATCAATACACTACACTGCCCTGCAAACTGAACAGAGAGAAGCCTGTCACGCTAACGTTGCCTTACTCAGCTCTGTCCATGTGTTTTTATGACCTGTCTGCCCATCACCTTGCTTTCCAGTTACTGTTCTGTCCTCTTAAAAAAAAAAAAAAAAAAAAAAAAAAAAAAAAAAAACACAGGTCTATATCTGTGAAAAAAAAAAAAACCTTGTGCTGCTTTCTGTACACTCGGAGATGTATAACTTTAAGCTGTAATTGTATCAAATATTGTTACTGGCAAAATGTTTAAAGCAAAATTATCAATTTGATCCCTAGACACTGACAGAGTGAGATATTGTCTAGCTAGAGAGCCAAATGAGGAGATCTTTGCTCTCCTCTGAATATTCTTGTGTTTATATAAACATACAGTCACTACATGAATCCTATTAAGCTGCATCTTTGTCAAGCTGCTAATAGCTAAGAACGGTGCTATACCATCCAAAGTGAAATTGGAGGTTGATCTCCTACCAGCAGTGTATGCACGTGTCGAATGTTACAAATTTATTTTGGTTTGAGATAAATGGAATCTGGACTTACGGTGTGATGATCACTTAAACTTTTATGAAATAGTCTGATCATACAGCACTGTTGTATCATCCTTTCTACACTTCTGAATCTTTACAGAATAAACTGAATACTCACCAAGCACTAAAATCTCATTATTTGCTCAACACCTTGCACCAGGAGTGAATATGAATTGTTTCATGGACACCAGTCAAATTATTCAGTGTGATGAACGTGAAATTAACATGCAGTGCACTGGGACTGAACAAATGCATGCAGCGTCTCCTGCTGGTGAGCAGCTCACAGTACAGTGTGTGATTTTAAGAGGTGCAATGTTCGTCTGTTTCCATGGCAGGCAAGCAAGCATCACAAAATAACCTGAAAAACCCAATGCCTACGAGGTGTATTGTGAGTTAGCCTTGGGTGTGTCTGCAGATGGTGACTAGAGCTTCTGTATGTAATGAAGGATGCGTTTCATGGACAAAACCTGAAATTCAATCCTTCTTGAGAAAGACACAAAGGAAAACTCAAGAACAGCACTTCTCAGGGAAGTACAAGGTTTTAGAGTCTAGTCACACCAGTTTCTTTTTCCAATTGAGGAGAAAAAAAAAAACAGTTTAATTGAATGTTCATAAAAATTGGTCATTTTTACATTTAGTGACTTTTGAACATAATGTGCCACAGGTCAAGAATTTCAAGCATCTATGCTGGTCTTGAGTTAAATACATTTGACTGTGGTGAGACATCCACTGTGGCCGCTAGTCCAAATCCAGCAGCTGTGCTACTCAACGCCTGTGCTCAGAACGGGCCTGGATTTTAAAAACCAACTAGAGCAAAATTCTTGTCAGAAGCAATTGCTAAATGTAAACCAGTGAGAAGCTGACATAAATGAATCAAGGGGGGGTGGGGAGGAAATTTACCTGTAGGATTTTATTCATTTTTCAACCTACAATGGGCATAAAACAAACATGATCAAAAGGTTATGACAAAAGGTAAACCAGGAATAGGCTGTTGACTTTACAGCTACTTACATCAACTCTCCTCTCCTAAGAGTGGAATAAAATGAACTAGTTCACATTAAATGTTGCATTACCCTCAATCTTTAAAAACAAATTTTAGAAACTGCCCAAATTGTAACAGATTAGATTTTTTTGGCAAAATTGATATCCCTTATATGCCCCTTCTGAAAGATAACACTTTCCACTTTAAATACATTATCTTCAAGTAACAGATACGGGAGTTTTTCTTGGAACAACTGCTAAATTAAAATCAGATGTTGATAGGGCTATGCAGAGACACAGAGGATGCTTGCAACCCAAAGAACAAGTGATTGGTTCACATTTACACTGAAAAAGAAGTCCCTGATAGAGGCTGTAAAACAACATTCACATTCAGTTTGCTTGAGTATAAATATTGACATGGTTGTAGTATCACCCCCCCCCCCACCCCTTTGCTGACCTAAACATCCTCTTTCATACTCAATTCAACATAGTCCAGTTTAAAATATTCGCCCAATCAGCTTCCAGACATACACACACACGTCAAAGTCAAGCTCACCATTTCCATTTCAAAAGGCCTGTAGGTATAGTTAAGGAACTTGATTTAAATTTGTCTATCAAAATATAGAATTCGTTAATAATACATGAAGGGCTAAAATACAGAGTGAGTGAACAAAAAAAAAAAAAAATACAATGATACAAAGCATTTTGTTTTCGTGGAATACAGTAGCTTTCGGACCACAGAGTTCAAAGTTCAGGCATTGTCAGGTTCAGTCCCAGAAGAGGGAGAGACACAAAGCTAAAAAGTCTTCAACTGACTGGGACTGTGCCGTGGTGCTCAGTTGTGGGTACAGTTCAGCCTTGATGCCTGATCTCAGATCAGATGTTTAGACTACCCACATCACCTTCCTGCCACTTCATAATAGCCACAGCTGTCGACTTACCATGTTGCTGCTGTTTTTCTGCTTAAAACTGTCGGAAATTCCTTGCCACATCTGTCCATCGAGCAAAATTCAGTTAAGCTTAAAAACCGAGTATCCAATAAAAAGATGCGTATCATAGTTAAAACCACAAAATGGGATTTTAAAATTCAAAGTCTTTGTCTGCCATGTCGATGGCCCAGGCAAACTTCTCACGCTGGGTTTTATTGTAGATCTTCTCAATGGGAATACCCCACTTCTTACACCTAAAAGAGACAAACAAGTTAGAACTGATTGTGGACAAAGCTCATTTAACAGAACACAGCTTTGCATCGTGTATATGATTCTAAAGCAAACTGGAGCCACTGCTTTGCAGTTGTACGCTTCCACCAACAAATTCAGGGGAATGGACAGATACGAGGTAACTGACCTTGACCTTTGGCCACCAAAATCTAAAAATCAGTTAATCCCTGAATCCAAATGGACACTTGTGCCAAATCTGAAGAAATTCCCTCAAGGTGTTCCTAAGATAGTGTTCACAAGAATTGTACAGACGGACAACCCAAAAACAATGCCTCTGGCCACGGCTATCGCCAGGACGGGGACATAATAATATACAATTTTCTTACCAAGCCACAGAAATACGAGGGTCCAGATAGTTGAGCTTGGACGTGCCAAGGGCAATTTGTTTGTTTTCTTCACGATCAGTTGCCTGCACTTCCAGCTTCATCAGTTGCTCCTCTATCCTTTGAACTGCCTTCCTCTTGGTCTCCACAGTCCTACAGGAGACAAATAACCATTTGGGCTCCTTATTTTAGGGCTAACTGGGGAGACCTGTTAATCTACAGCAAGTCCTTTGCTACTCACTTTCTGGATTTTACATCCTTCCGCACTTTAGCATCAGCCTTGGCACTCTTAAGTTCTCTCCTGGCATCAGAGAGCTGGCCCCTTTTAGCATCAATCTAAGAAATTTGACAGTTATTAGTCTCAGACACTACAGACACCAGTTACTGTGGCTGTGTAACACTAGTTCCTCAACACAATCTGCAAGACATTTCTAATATGTCAGCACCATTTTAGGTGAAATTCAAAGATTCAAAACTGGCACAGTAGAACATGAGATGACATTTTAGAGGACCTAAAACAGTTTGAAAATACTGCTGTATCAATGCAGAACGCATTTACCAATTCCTGAATTATTATTTTTTAAGTGGTAAGGTTTGACACACTGTGCTGTCAGAACTCAAAAGCCCATCCTCACCTTAGTCTGCAGGTTCTGCATAGACTTCTCAAATGTCTTTGGTGGTGCTCTCTGATGGTTACACAGGATGGCCACAGCCCTGTTGGCCCTGTTATAGGACAAGATCTTGGCAGGAATGTTCTCCTCCGCTAGAGAAAAAGAAAGTGTCAGCTTTCTGTATACAAAACAACTAAAGAGTCACACACATTAAAGCATGTTAGTATCTGAACAGTATCTCATTTTGAATGTCTTTACTCTAGATGGGAGCAATTAATTGCTCTAGTGAAACTTTGGTTTTAGTTTTTGACTACAGGTAGAGATGTACAGTTTGTGAGCTCCTTTAGCTGCTGCTGCAGGGTGATTGAAGCATTGTAGGTACGGAAAACTTTGGCTGTCAGACCGTCCATCAGCTCCTGAAGGTGCTTGTTGAGTATGGAAGTCTGGAGGGAAACAAGGGCAATCACAGTACAAAATAATTGCTGTTACAAGTGTCAAACGGCAGACACTAAGCTCTAAGAGCTGTTAGTTTAGAACCCATCTTCCCCAATAAAAAAAATCTATAATGATGAACCTTTTCTACCAAAACCAGATCATAAACTAAATAAGGACTGCATAGTTTCCTTTCACAGGTTGTGTGTTGCTTACATTTAAGCGATCAAACAGGTCATCATCAGGCTCCTTGTTCTCCATAAACAACTGCACATTCTTAAATACCTAGAGGAGGATAAACTCACATGAATACAAAGGAAGTGGCTGGACATGGACACGCGCGCACACACACACACACGCGTGTGCAGTACTTACCCTTTTCTCCACAGGGACTTTGTTGTAGTAGCGGATGGAGTCTTTACCCAAGAAGTCAAACTCCACCACATACTCCTGACCATCGCTCTCTGGATAGAGCTTGATGTGTTCAACTCTAAGCGAGCAGCAGCCCACAGTGTCTGCAGTCTCTCCTTCCTCCTTCTCATTCCCCGCTCTCAAAGCCAGCTAGAGTATGTCAGGACAGCTGGATTAAAGCCAGTTTATAAAGACACTGCCCTCACTGAGGTGTTTGAGCACCCCCTAAACCCCTCTTGGAAACTACAGTCATTGTTAAAAAGCAGTTAAACTACATTATCACCTCAAGCTATGCACACGCAGAACAGTGTCTATGGTATTTATGCACCTCACCTTGTCAATGAAGTAGAGTGCCACAGCCCTCTGCCTGATCCGCATCTCCTTGGACTTCCAGTCCTCGCGGTACTGGTTTCTGATACGGTCCACACAACTCTTCAGTCTACGGGCTGTTTCATACTTCTGCCAATCCTTTTCGCCCTGCAGGGGGGGGAAAAAAAAGTGAAGTGGTCGAATGAGACCAGAGTAACTAATGAATCGTATATGGGACCATGTTTTGGTGGCAAACAGGAGCAGCCGAGTGAATCAATGCACTGTGCACAGATGAAATAGCGAGGGGAACCTGTTCTGTAGTTAAATCAATCGCAGATGGTGAAGTTCTCAAAAATACTTGGTTGGCTGTTGATACCTGGGTGACCCACCCAAGTAAAGTCTATGTGTGCGGAAACACTGCAGTATGCCCCAGGTCAAAACCTTCTTGTAGTGCAAAACTCAGCCTGCCTTGATCCTAGAGCTGGGGTTCAGCATGATGTACTTGATGGAGCCTTGAATGTTCTCCGTCCATGACACCAGCCAAGTCACCTTGTTGTCATGACGAACCTCTTTCCATTTAGTACCCGGAGGAGGCGCGGGGTGTTTGGAGTCCCTGTGAGGAGCACATTAATAAAACATTTAATCATTACATTCACATAACATCAGTTCATCAGCACTGAAAAGCTCCATTGCTCACTTGCTGCAGTTGATTATGATGTCTTGAGGCCTAATGCGTCGTTTGAGCATGCCCATTTTGGGATGGTCCCCACGACCACGAAACAGGCCTGGGGGTTCAATGCGGAAGTTAGCAATACGTTCCCTGTGGTTATCCATGATGCAGTAGCCATATTCCTGCAAGACGCGCTCATTCTCCTCCTTTATTTTCTGCAAGGGGAGCACACATGAGAACTTCATCTTGCTGGTTTCAACAATTTGGGAAGTAAATTTTTTTTGATGCATCAGCTATTAATCAAATCAAGCAAAACCAAACCGTGAAAACTTTAAATTAGCTAGTTTTCTTGCAATATTGGAAAAGTTTTATTTTTACTGTGAGCAAGTGATTTGATAACCTCACTTGTCAGACGATTAGGACTAAGGGCTTCCAAGACAAACACTCCATCTATGCAACTTAAAAAGAATCAGGTGATAACATTGTCTAATGTTTTCAGTAGAATTCCCCTTTAAGTTTGATATACTGGTTGGTTAACTATTGTTTATCCTTGATAATAAAAGAACTACATCAGATTTAGCTGCAACACAATATACAAGTAGCAGCTGACCTGTTTCTCCTCCTTTGTCATAGCCTTTCTGGCCTCAGACTGTGTCTTGAAGTATTCATTCATTTCACAGAAGTTGCACTTCTTCAAGTCTGTGATCTTAGCCTTTTCCTCCGAAGTCATTTCCTGTATCAGCAAAACACAGTACACTCAAACACAAATCTGTTTTGTAAGATTCTAATCTCTGATAATTTGCAAAGTGTAATTTCACACCTTCCTCCAATCTTTAAAAAAATTTTTGCGGAAGATCTCCTTTGTGGTGTACTCATGGTCCAGCATTTTGGCAAAGAATGTGGCTACCTCTTCTGCTTCTGGGCTGAGCTTCATGGGTTTACCTAAAATATACAAGAGCCACTGACATTTACTCCTGCTATCATGTAGTCCCATAGCACAGCCCTGACTGATATACAAGGTGAGCACTCCTGTGGGAAATAAAAACTTACCATCATAGTAAAATCGGACATTGCTAGGAAGAGGCTCATAAGATGGCGCAAACACTGGACCTTTGTGTTCTAGAAATTTCCATTTCACGCCATCTGTGTATCTTTCCTCCTCCCACCTGGAGTCAAGCAGATGATAACACTATCCAATAAGATGTTTCAATGCACTAGAGCATGTGTCAAACTCAAGGCCCGCGGGCCACATCCAGCCCGGCGTACAATTATATCCGGTCTGTGAGATCATTTTATATATCTTTTTTTTTTTTAAATGGCCCGGTGACATGAAGCGCCGGTAACGCACAAACTACAAATCCCATAATGCAGCGCAACAGCTGTCTTACCAAACGATAGGCTATCTGCGATCATTCCCGCATCAATTACGTCCGATCAATCAAGCGTCTGTTGATGTATACAAACCTAATTTCAAGTCAAAGCTAGCCCCTAACAATGGCCAAGAGAAAAGTTGATTATAAAAACAGAACCTTTCTAAACCGGTGGGAGGCTGAGTATATGTTTACTGACATTGTCGGTAAACCTGTGTGTCTTATTTGTGGAGCTAATGTGGCTGTAATTAAAGAATATAACCTAAGATGGCGCTACGAGACAAAACATCAGGACAAGCTGAAAAACGTGAATGCAGAGCAGAAGCTACAGAAAGTAGAGGAGTTGAAGAGGAATCTGACATCACAGCAGACGTTTTCACCAAAGCCAAATCACACAGTGAAGCTGCTGTGAAAGCAAGTTCTATTGCGGCAGAGGAGAAAATCAGGCCAGACATTTACCAAGGAAGAGTTTCTGAAGAGCTGCATGATGAAAGTGTGAGACGTCTTGTGTCCAGATAAAAAGCAGGTGTTTGTAAATGTAAGCCTTAGCAGAAAGACGGCTGCTGATTTTAAGTTCAAGTTTATTTATTTTGGAATAATATTGTATCCCGTCTGTTTCAATTCATATTTATGTTAAAAAAAAACGTTTAGTTTTAGTCTGTTCAATAAATTTTTATCCTGTTCGGCCCGCGACCTAAAGTGGGCTTTGAGTTTTGGCCCCCTGTGCGATTGAGTTTGACACCTCTGCACTAGAGAAACAATGAATGCACTCAATTGATCACCCCACTGATGAGTAGCGTGCAGCTGGCTGACATTAACTCACCATTTCCACTTCTCCTCTGGCTCTTTCTTTGCTTTCTTCTTCCCATCAATGACTTCTCCTTTTTTGTTTTTTGTCTTTTTGGACTTAATGCCCTAAAGAGGAAGGAGAAACCATTCGAGTTATTTTTCTGCCAGGTTGTTAGAAAACATGATCAACATAAGACAGACTCAAGCATCTGAAATTCTTCTTCAGGTACTCCCTCATTTTTTTTTTTTTTTTGAAAAGTATAAGAGTGTCAAGGAATTTTCACTGTTCACAGGTCACACTCTGCTTACCCCATCATCTTGTTTTCTTTTCTTGGCCTTCTTGTCATTTTCAGTCTTTATTTTCTTGGGCTTGAATTCAGAGCTGAAAAATAACAGCATTGTCTAACATCAAATTTTTGTCACAGACAATAATGACACCCTAACCCTATGAAGCAGACATAGAAGAACTGTGATAACTATTGACATGCCCACTTACTCATTATCATCATCCCGCTCTCTTTTTAGAGACTTCTCATGTTTAGGAGAGTGGTAAAAGTTATCCTCAGGCTCAGACTTCACATGTTGAGGACTGCAAAAGAAAAAGAGAAAAAAAAAAAAAAAAAAAAAAAAAAAAAAGAGCCAAATCAGAAACACCTTTCTATGAAAATGCGCCTGCTAGTAACTTATATATAAGCATGTAAGAGAAATGCGGAGTGCAGGCATACCTGGCAAAGCCATTCTCTTTTTCCTTTTTGACTTTACCATCAAGGGCCTTAATCTGAAACATTTGCATAATGTGGTTAGTTGAGATTTTTTTTTTAAATAAAATAATTAGCTATGTCAATATTTAGGCTAAGTGACAAATGGTAAATCGTAACTGCCAGGTTCTATGACTCTCTACCATCTTTGTCGGGCTTTTGTGCATAAAACATAGTTGACTGTTAGTTTTCCCAAACTAGAGCATCTAAATCATTTATCCATCATTCTTGGTCACTCCTATCATAGTACTGTGCAATGACTTCTGTCTTGTATAACTGCCCTGAACAGCCACCCTACTTGCAGACCAGATGTATAGACATTTTCTACTCTTAGTTCTGCCAAAACACATCAGCTTTCTAGCTGCTTGAAGCCACCAGAAATGATGTGAACCCAAAAAACGTGTCTAAATGTTGCATTTTGTACCCCTTTTTAACATTTTAAAGTCCTGATTCAAGACAGATTTAGCCATATTTGAAACAGAAAATGCAAACAAAATGAATGCACTTTACACTTTGGTCAATTTAAGTTTGCTGACAGCATTGCAGAGCATTCATCATGAACACTGCTTAATAAAATAAAAGACACACACTACAAACTACTCAACCACATCCTTCTGTGAACTATTTGCACCTTTTCCTCCTTCCTCTTCTCCTTGTGCTTGTCCTTGTATTTGACTGTGCTGCCATCTTTGTGCTTCATCTTTTCCTTCTCTTTGTCTCTGTGTTTTTTGTCAGATGAGTCCCTGTAATCACTAAAGTTAAAAGAAACATTACTATTCGTTTCCACTTCCACTGTAGAAATACACTAATCAAGCAATATATCTAGTCCATTTTGTGCAGACGTGCTCAGAAATATAAACTGTTGACTCTGAAAACACACATCATACCTGTTGCCATGCTTGGACTTCTCCCGCTCCTTATCCTTCTTGTGGTCCTTATGTTTGTGTTCCTTCTCTTTATACTTGTCTTTATGTTTATAAGAGTCTGAGAAGAAGAATTGTGTTACATTCTTCAAAAGTGATGATTGACTAACAGGCTGAAATGCTCGGCTTGCATACCTACATCAGGAACAAGATCTATCTAATGGCCAAAGTATATTCAATGTTTCTGTACACAAGAGGCAAATAAGTGCCCTCCCTTCAGCCAGAGGTTAATGGAGGATAGATAACACCTCAGAAAGCACCCAAAGTCCATCTGAATTTCATTATGATAAAAACGGATCATGCACCGCAATGTGAATGTCATGCTGCCAGTACAAAGAAAATCTAGCACACAGCACCTCCTACTGCCAGTATCAGCCTCGATGTTTGAGACATGAAACGACTGACAGGATGAAACATGCAAGTGAGACAAATAACATCCCTCCCTAAAATTTGAAATCCACAGCAGAAAAAAAAAAAGAAAATATTAGCACAAAGCAAAAGGAAATGATCAAAATTAAGAGTTGACACCCAAACTCAGACCTGCAAATACAGAACTGATGGCTATCAGCCTAGTCTAACAGGCTCAAAAACAAGTTGTCCATACTTCCTTATTATTCAAGCATAAGGTAAACACAGCTCACATGTTCAGGTTGAAAGTTTGTGATTTTTATTTCCTCAAAGACTCACTAAATCCAAAGTAAACTTAGAGTTTCATGTTTGTTGTTCCATTAAAAAAAAAAAAAAAAACTATAAAAACTAGTAATCTTTGCTCATCCATTATATGAAGATGACAGATTTTGATTTGTGATGTCCTCTCAGGTTTAAGACAAATCACTGTTAGTCATTTGCACTCCATCAAGGATCTGCAGACAAACCAGAAAAAATATCGGACACGTTTGTTAAAGACTCTGCTCTACAGTTTACTGATGACGAAAAAACAAAACAAAAAAAAAAAAAAATCTGTAACAGAACGTATGCCCGTGCCACTGACAAGCAAAATGTATACATGAAGTACAATATGTTCTAGTAAATGAATGAGAGAAGCCCTAACAAATTATGCAATCAGTCTGAACCAAGCCCAAGTCGGCCATAAAAAAAACTGCTTGGGAATAAAAAACTAGTCCAGTGTGAAGGGAATTCTGATTTCTGGTAGCTACAAGTAAAGGCAGTTCCATCCCACATTACTGATCAACCAAATAATTGGACTAGATCGTTTTTTAAGCAATAAGGGTGCACAGGAAAGCCCAGATCTTATACAAAGGCTGAACAATTTGTCTAAATCAAATATATTGAAGGTTTTGTCCTAACTGGAAGTTTTTAACCTATATAATATAAAAACTAAGTCAGTACTTCTTAATTGGCCCAAAGAAAAAAGTTTTCCATTATGTTCATATGGATGGAGTTGTATGTTTGTTTAATGAAGGTCTCTAGAACCCATAAAAGTGATAGAAGCAATAAAACTAGCTATTGTCAAGACCCTTTTAATAACTCTAACTCGCAATATGACGATTACTTTAAGTTAATGACTCAGCATGCAGACCACTCAAATGTGATATTTCAACTTGAAACGTTCCCCCTTATCTTAAAAAGTGAGACTATAAAGTCTTCATAGTTAGAAAAAAAACCTTGGCCAAAGAAAGCGTCAAGGTCGCGTATAAAAATTATACTCCTGCTGGTCACCACATGGTATCTTAATGAGACACTGTGCCTTGCATTTCTCCAACACAGCCATCTGCACTCCACAGCCTGGGCAGAGCTTGCAGTACATTCAGGCCGCTACACCGAAAAAGAAAATGGCGCAGAGACTAAGTCCTCAACCCTCAAACCTTCACTTTCAGGTGACAAATGCGGCATTAAAAGCCAACTAACAAGAAATTCTAATACAAAGATCTGATAAAACACCTCCAGGTGTGTGCCAATACGGATTCAAATCGAGAAAATGACTTGCGGAAATGCTTTTACAAGACCTCTCTTTTGAACAATAGACGCTTGTGAGTGAGAGAGAGGACTTAGTCTCTGGACGCCATTTCTGTCCTCTACTGTGAACTAACATAACGTTACATTACAGTGAAGACATGTCAGAATCTGAATAAAATCCTCGCTGGAACTTGTTAGTTAAATATAATAAACTTACCATTGACCCGAGAGCCACAGTCAATCTGGGGGAAAAAATCCAAACAGATTAACATTAAATTTCATAGTGGCTAACTAGCCGGCTAACTAACTTTGAACTTACTGGATAGCAAAGCGACAGTTTGTTAGCTACCCAGCTAGATGCGCTAGCTTTCTACGCTGGCTGGTAATATGGCTTGATGGCTAATACCGTAGCGGCTAACGCCAAATTAAATGTAGCGTCGCTCCACTTTACCTTTTCAGTTCATACCTAGCCACATAAACTTAAAACCTAAATATATAGCACGCCCAGGACACATTACTAATACAAATCTAATGGAACCTGTCAAGATCCTGATATAAAAAAAAAATTAAAAAAAATGAGTTGGCTTCCAAACACAAACGGCTAACGCGCGCTAGCCGACACTGTTCACAGTCCGCTAAGTTACCTGTCAAACCAAACAAAAACCTGTTCCCGTTAACCACTAGTGATGTCATTACAGAATGAATTTAACATTACCTGGTCCTCGTTGTGGGAATGATCCCCACTCATTTCCTAAGCGCTGTTCGATTAAAAACAAAACAAAACAAAAAAGAGAATCGTTTAAGGTTACCACACACCGGTAAGGAGCTACAAGCAGAATGGAGAAAGACACGGTTGTGTAAGAGATTCAAGTCCCAATTGTACAGTAATGCGCATGCGCTTCAGTTTAAATGGTAGAGAACGGTGTAGCTCCTCCTCTCGGCAAAACGTGTCCAGGCCCCCTGGTCACAGTCCTGAGAGAGGTACACGTACCAGGATGAGCACAAGCTGCTCCAACCCCAGCGTCCCACTTACTTATCAGTTTATAGTTTTTATTCATTTGGTCTAATAAGGGAGTGAGAACAAAGGGATGGAGCAACTCTACGTACTACTCTATTAGTAATAACAACAAAAATAACAAACCTCATTACCACCATGTTGAAGAGATTTTTTTGGTGAACTCACTCACCTTTAAATCATCCAGAGAATATGAAGCTAGGCTGTATGCTACCTCATAGATTGTATAATGGCATAGCTGAAACAAATAAGAAAGAAAGAAAACAAAATAAAGAAAAACAAATAACTGACATAATTTGCAGAAATTGGCATATGCTTACATAAACTGGAGAAACCTTTCTGAACAGAGGGTTGCATCTGCTATTTAATTCTGCTGAATGTTATTTATGTGAGAATAGCCCTAAAGTTGTGATGTGTCTTTTATAGTGTAAAGCAGAACGTGTGGAACATAACGCAGGGAGCCTGTCCTGCCCTCCACAGCTTTGAAAGCCAATAGGCCTATCACATAATGTATTAAGATACTCAGACTATAGTTGAATCAATGGAAGTCAAATGTTCATTATAATAACCACCTGAAATATCCCAGAAATTTCAGTCTCATGCAAAGTGGCATCAGTGGTCCTTAGTAGACAATAAATGAAAATGTTTTAATAGCGATTCCCAAGTTCAGTTTAATATGAATGTACAGGGCAGCATCTAAAAACATCAGTAGCTTAAAAATGTATTTAATATTGTTTCTGGGTTATTGCAATGACATGGTAGTTTGCACTTACTTGTTCAATTGTAAGTTATTTTTAATAATATTTATAAAAAACATGTAATCAGTATATTTGCTTCAGAGGTTGACGACCTTCTGTACATATGTAGGAGGAATAAAATCAGTGTGGGATGAATGAGCTGCTGACTTCATGGTGGATCTGAGTGAATGGTGTTCAAAGCTAACTCCACAGGGGGGCGTTGCAGGACTAACCTGGCTTCTTTAAACTTCTATGTTCAAGATGTAATTGACTGAATAGATTACAATGTATTATTCCAGGCTGTGAGAGGCTGCTAGAATATACATTAATAGTCTGTGAAGTATCTCCAGTAGGACGTTCTGTGCTATTAAAACTCCTGATTCAATGCAACACAGTTAGTTTGTTGATTTCAAAGTGCAGGTTTCTGTACATTTTACTGATGAAAATGCAATATTACAGATCCAGTAATGTGCACTAGTAGTATCTGCACATAGTGCAAATGTTTACAGAAAATAAAATACAACCATACATGTATGTTTCAGTTTTTCAAGAGACAGCCCATGAACACTTTAAAAAAGCCAAATTTGTCATATACGTAATAAGGCTTGAGTTTTTAAATCACAAATGACAATTCAGAGTTAAAATTAGGCCACCAAACCATCCTTTGGCCTGGATTAATAATGAAGGACCGACCTTAAAATCATATTATAAATATGTAAGATCACAGCAATGTCACCAAGTGCTTGAGAGCAAATTAAAAAGTAATGAAAAATTACCAGCATGCTACAATTTACTTCAAAAAACCTAATGTAACAACAGCAACACATTCAACTTTTAAACAAGGCAATTATGAGGAGTACAGAGTGTTAGATTTTCACTGCTCATGTTTTCTTTCCTCACATATTCAAGACCAGCTTTAACTACAATTTAATCAAAGTCAAATTTCTGAAATCCAACACTGTTCATCTGCTTAACAATGTTGTTTGTTTTCCATGATGTTAAAAGCATCTGTTCCAGTTTCAGCTGTTTGGATTTAATAACCAACACAAAACCTTGCTGATGAAGCAGAGATGCAAGGTTATTAAGGCACTGTTGTGAGAACACTGTGTCCTCATCCACACGCATTTAAAGCTCCTGATGATTTGGCTTGGAAGGTGGCGTGGCTGCCTTCTGGTATAAAAACATGTAAGAGTCACACAGCTGTGCACTAGTTCGGGAGCCGGGGAGGGGTTGGCCGGAGCCAGCAACTCCTCTGGCTGAGACAGGAAGTGTCCCAGCTCTGGACAAGCTTGAACCACAGGAATGCTGTAGCCACTTTGATCATCACCTATAAGAAAGAAGAAGAATGTGGCCGTGAGATAAGAGATCAGCTCAAGAAGACAAAGACGTCAGAGTGTGTCCTTATCTAATACTGTTGAGGCTGTATTATTAAATAAAGCAGTCATGCTTAACCACTTCATAGCAAATCAAAAGCAAGTCAGTGTTTGCACAAACATCAGAATAACATTAAAGAGAGAAATAACCTATATAT